TTTATAAATAGTGTTTATTTGATCTTCTTCCATGCACCAAATTCGAGTCTTTGCAAATTTTCCTCTAATGAGAGCTCACATTAAATATGAATATAATAATTACCTCTTTTTATTTATATATATATTTATTTTGGCAAAAAGTAAATAGCCCTTCTTTACTCTGTTCCTTTTTTATTGTCCAACTTTGTAAGATGATGTCTTTCATTATTTTTTTAGGGCTAATTTCACTGACACCTTTTAAGTTTGGCTAAATATTTCTCTTAAACATCTTTTGAAAATAACTATCACTCACATTACAAATTTTTGTTTCATTTTTTACTCACCCCCAGCAGTTATTTTCACAGTTATGACACAATGTAAAATGACTTAAACATTATTTAACTTTGTCAAAACAACTATTTAATCTAAAGAATTAGATAAAAAGACTAAAATATTTCCAAATATTTTGTAAATTTACAAGTTATATTATACGTAGTATATCTTTATTGTTTCTTATGTTATATATATATATAGATAACGTCCTCAAAACTCCATAAACACCGGTAAGAAGCTCTAAGCAGCAACTTTAGGCGACGTCAAGGTGGCAACGGCAAGGTAGATGATTTGCCGGCTCCGCAGATGAGAGGACTTGAAGGATCATTTACGGGTTATAAATTTTTGTCTTGTCAATTTAACCAAGCTTATCAAACCGGGACAACCATTTTGGGATGAATTAAAATGAAAAGGTTGACAGAGGGAGTAAATAATAAAATGAGTGGTGATATTTAGGCAGAAGAATTAGGCATAATTGTTTGATGGAATACATTGAAAATGAAGAGTCCCACTTTTTTATATTTTGTCATGCATTGATCAATTAAAAACATAGAACATTTGTAGTTTGTAATTCAAAAAACAGTTCTCAAACATTCATATAAATTATTCTCAAAGAATAATCTTTTATAGTACTCTGAAAATATGTATTTTTATAACTGAGTTTTAAAAAAAGAGTTTTCAAAAAATTGAACAAAACAAAATTTTTATACAAATTTCTATTTTTAATTTTTTGATAATAAAAAATTATTTTCAAATTACAAATAAGCATACCCATCCCATTAAGAAATTCTTGTCCACCTTCTCGACTTTAAAACTATTTTTCCAAAATCATATAATTGACATTTACCTTATCTATCCTTGAGTCCTTTTTAGTATTTTTGACAGCATATGATATTCTTAAAAGAAAAAGTGTTGAATAACCTAGTTTGGTGATATTTATTTCATCTGTCAGAATGGCCCTGTCCATGGTTTCCACACCTTTTGACCTTTACACTTCACTGGAAAAGACATCCGTAGATACAGTTTTCCCCACACCTCTAACACAATCAAAATAATTGTAATAAAGAAATCGTAATAACTACTGGTAGCCCAATCAATTTATTTGTACATTTTAAATGTCATACATATTGCAGATTTTGAAGTGGCAGAGCCATAAACTTATCTTTGATCTTGAAGTGGCAGAGCCGTAAACTTATCTTTAATCTCTCTCTCTCTCTATATATATATATAGATATACAAACACACACACACACACACACACGCACGACTGACATTAGATCTTGCGATCATGTAATTTTGGACCCTTTAGGCTGCTTCCCAATGTGGATTCCCTGTCACTTTGTCCATATAAATTACTTCAATCAACTTTTCTAAGAAGGTTTTCAAAAAAAAAAAATAAATAAATAAATATAAAAACGAGGAAAGTCGAGCAATTTATAAATATTTAGACTTATCTAAATATCAGTGAATAGTATATTTTAAATACGGACCGAAACATATAATTTGATAATTCAGTAACAACTAATCAATAAATCAGATATTAATTATAGTTGATCCTTTTGATTATAATTCAATTCCATATAATATAAAATGAATATATTATAAATATATTGTTTAATTATATAACACATAATATTTACATAATAAAAAATATTTGTATCCTAATATTTTCTTCTTCTTCTTCTCTCTATCTATTTTTTCTTATTTTTTATATTTTTTTCTTTAACAAAGACTCAGATATCAATTTCTTCTGGTTTTTTTTTTTTTCATATTTTATTTCATCCTGATAATTGTTATTTTTTTCCCGGAATTCTGATAATTAATTGTTAATTTGCTCATCTCTTTTAACATTACTTATATATATATATATTTATTTATTTATTTATTTATATTTAACAAATTGAATATTCGATTAATAACAAATCGGATTTCATAAATAATACATCAAACCAGAAGTAATTCTTAAAGAATTTGAATTGAGTTGAATCTTATACAGTTCGAAAACCAACCTTTTACAACTCTAATTACACGTGCTCCAGAAGCTTTAAAAGGTGTGGCAATCACTGTATCACAAAAGTATATAGCTTAAGATGGATAACATTGTAACAATCTTATTTTTTTACTCAAATGTGTTCGTAATATATCTTAAATGCGTATATATATGTTTTTTTGAAAGGTAATTAAAATGTGTATATCTCTTTATAGAAATATTGTTTGATTTCTTTGTCTATAATGTTATACTATATCACCATCTTAAACTTGTATCTTTTTCACAATATGGATGTCTATTAGGACTACAACTTGAAGACTGAAGTACGTACTTGGAGACTTGTACCACCATGTATTTAATTAAATGACCTAACCAATGTAGCATAAGATGCTTTTGAGCATCTAAGATATATGTGTGTGTGTGTGTGTGTGTGTGTGTGTGTGTGTGTGGGCATTTCCTTTTGTGTGAGGTACAAGGTTAAATATTTGAGAGGAACTTTTGTCACAGCAATATCTTAGTAGGTAGCAAGTAGTACATTGTGGGACTTTTGAGCATTTAGTTACAGCACATCCTCCCTTAGAAAAAAATTTCTTGTTCTCTATCACTTCAATGTGTGTGTGTGTGTATATGTATAATTATTATTATTATTTTGAATTTCAAACAATTTGTATAAACAGTACTATAAAGCTGGATCACTTGATTTGATTTTTATTTTTATTTTTATTTTTTAAGTTTAAGCAAAAGGATCATTTCAAATTATGAATATTGAAAGAACATGGAATTAATTTCACTCATATATTAATGCCAAGAGATATAAAAATTCTCTAAAAGGAGCATTTGGATTTTAATAACTATAAAGTTAAAAGGCAGAAATTTTCACAATGCTTGCATGAGAGAGATCATGCGGCATTATTTACCTCAGAGAGAGAGAGAGAGAGAGAGAGAGAGATTATATGACATATTCTCTATTTTCTCTTGAAAAGATGATGATGGAAAGAAAGATAACTTCCTGTAAAGAACCATTGGTTTTTGTTAGGTTAGACCTAGTTTTTTATAGTATATATATATATATTTTTCTCTCCAATAAAATTTTCAATTATAAGAAGGAAAAAATGAACCATAGGTTCTTCTTCTTCGGTTTTTTTTTTTTAAAAAAAAAATGATTTTCCAACTGGAATCAATTTGATTAAAAATGCATGCATGTCAGGCGGCCAGTTTTTTTTTTTTTTTTTTGCTTACCTAAGCTTACTGTGCTAAACAATGGTCAACTTTGGTTGGGACCCAGTGCCAAAAATATAATCAAAAAACAAGAGTCAATGATCAAACTGATCAAGGCATCCTAATGATCAATGGGACCATTAGCTGTGATCCATATATTGTTACATTAATGTTGTCTGTATCATAATGTAGTTACTAATATTCATACTATAATTAAGTAATACAGGATAAGACACGTACACATAGTAAAGTAATAGCTTTTGATAGACTATTCTAAGTGACTTTTATAAGAAGACTGAGATTATGATTAATTATTTATATTTCAAAGCTTCAGCCACCACAAAGTCCAAAATTTTCATCATTATTTTTTTCGAATTTTGATATACAAGTTCCCACCTTGGGCTTGACTTATTCCAACAACAGATTCTGTGGTGTAATAGCCAAACAACCAATTAAAAGAGTTGGTTGATAAGTATTAGTCTTTGTGTGTAACAACCAAACACCTTAAAAAAACAACCAAACATCTTAACAAGTACATGACATCCAAAATTAATGTAAAACAGTTGGTTGAGTATTAGTCTTTGTGTGTAACAGCCAAACAACTTAAAAGTACATGGCATCCAAAATTAATGTTAGAGGCTCTTGCTTAAGATTAGTGTAAGAGCTCTTGTTAAGGAGTATTTAATGATATAAAGTTGCATTTATGCTAAAATAATATATATATATATATAAAGCTGCATTAAATGATTTTTTAAACCATCAAGAAAAAGAAAACTTATCCTTCTGGCTAAATCATAATAGGTAGAATTCAATTAATGCTTCTGTGTATAACTTTTTGTTTACATAAAACACCCCTCAAAGTACACTCTCAAATCTAGCTTAAAAATCAAAATTCTTTACAATCTTAAACTAAAATTGTTTTATTTTAACCAAAATTTCTAAAATTTATTTGCAAAATTTTAAACCTTAAATTCCAGTATTTCGAAAAACCACACCCAAAATTATGAAGCCTAATTCTGAACCTTTTGAACCCTAAATCGTAAATCATTTCGCAACCTAATTATAACCTGCAAGCCATACATCCTAGCCCTAAATTTTGGGGGCAATAAATCTTAATTTTTATACCTAAAATTTTACCTGCAAAAATCATGAGGTTTTAATCCTAGACAGTAATCTTTTAAATTTAAAATAAAATACTTTAGGTTTTTATAAACATTATTATAGGGGCACATATGGTATTTGAATTGTATAAAGAGCTACTTTGGTAAAATCTCATCATTTAATGATGCTTATTTTACTCACTTTTATTAATAAAATAGACTTCAAACATTTTTTTTAGGTTGCACTAATGACTTACTATTATCTAGTTTTTATATATATTCATTAATATATACATATCTATATATATATGTAGTAGTATAAAACAATGCTTATACTGAATTAGTGTGTAGAGTTTGAATGATGATAACTTATTGAGCGCTGCTAGCCAGTAGCAACAGTGTGTGATGACTGTGAGTACCATAATTGTAACCTCTTCACTAGTTTTCATGACATTTATTTCAGAGTTTTTGAAGTAGGAGTAAGAAAGAACCGTACAGACAGACATCATCACTCCCCAAAAAAAGAATTGCACAAAAAGAAAAGCTCTACAATGTACTGTCAAAAAAAAAAAAAAAGAAATGTTTTTTTTTCTTCTTTCATTTCCATCCATCAGATTCAGAGAACAGAACACAAAACCCCAGAAAGAAAGAAACTGATGAAACTAGTCTAATCTGAATCTCCTCCCCCACCATACCATACCCCTCCAAATCTTTCTGATTTTACTTACAGTCAGTTATCATCAGTAGTAGTAGTACATAGCTCTCTTTTGTGTCTTGCCCTTGTTTTCATCATTCAAAGAGAAGCTATTACAACCATTATCAGTACTATCATTACTACTACTAATCAGTTGCTTAACTTCCATAAGATCATACTCTAATGTAGTAGCACTGTTATTCCCAAAATACACATTTGGCTTCTGATCATGATCAGCCCATGTAGTAGTAGTAGTAGTAGTGTTGAGATAATTATTATCATGATCACCCCCATTGTGGCCATAATCAAGCATGAATCTTTGATTCTCTTCAAACCCATTTGCTAAGAAGCTTTGATCATGAAGACCCATGTCTTCAATTTTTATCTCTTTGCTATAGCTGATCTGATCATGACTGCAACTTAAGCTTCCATCGGAGAAGGAGCAACTTGGTTGTTGATGATGATCATGAGTAGTAGTACCCCCAAACATGAGGAGGTTATTGTCTTTGAGTAGTGGGTAATACTGCATGGAATTAGTAGTAGTACTCATCAAGCTCATCATCTCTTGGGTTTGAAGAAGCTGAGAATGGTTGGCTTCAAATGAATTGGTAGCGTTGTTGACATTCAAAAGATTTGATGGAACTGAAATGGGTTGATCAAGGCATGTCAGAGACTTGGCATTTGGAGTAGTGTAATAGAGATTACAATCTTTGAATGGTGATGGTGGTTGTGGTGGTGGAGTTTGATAAAGAGGATGATGATGATGTATATTTGGGAATGGTGGTGGTGGTGGTGGTGGTTTTGAATATCTTTGAGTGGTGATGGATGGATTAACCATCATACCCATGAGCTTCTTCTTGAGCTTTGTGTTCCAATAGTTCTTGATATCGTTGTCAGTCCTGCCTGGTAATCTAGCAGCTATAACTGACCACCTGCACTTGTTGAGAGAATAAGTTCCATAAGAAGAAATAACACCTAATTTGAAGATCAGCTTTCTCTTCAATATATATATATATATACGGCTGTGTATATATAGGTTTAGGTGTTAGATCTAAACTTGGCATGCATGCACAAGAATTGTCCAAAAGTAGCAGAATCTAATAACAAACAACATTTAAATTTACCAACTAAATCTCTCTCACTTGTATTACCTCAAAAAAAAAAAAAACCGAGTAGCTAGCTAGCTCTCTCTGTGGGTACTGTGTGAATTTCTCTCTCTTTCCTTCTTTCTCCTTTTTTTCCATCTTTAGAAGAACTTTATCAATTAATTGATGTTCTGTCATCATAGCATATTATGATAAGGAGGGAAAAAGGGGAAAAAGTGGTACTAGGATCAATTTGGTTTATAAGTGTGTATAGAAATAGAAAAAAATGGGAAAGATGAGAACAAAAATGGAAATTTGATTACCTGCTTCCAATGCTAGCAAACAAGCTGCAGATGATCCTGTCTTCATCATCAGAAAATTCACCATGCTTAATGTTGGGCCTCAGATAGTTGAGCCATCTCAATCTGCAGCTCTTCCCACATCTCTTTAGACCTGATCCAATTAAAAGTACCAAACAACATACAAATGAAGCAAGAAAAAGAGTGAGAGAGAGAGAGAGAGTCCAAAACCAAACACCATCAAAATAAAAATGAAGCAAGCAAGAGAGAGAGAGAGAGAGGAGAAATATGTTAATCTTACCAGCTTTTTGTGGAAGAGCAATCCAATTCCCACCAGTACCATACTTCTCTATGAACTCCTTAAGCTTTGAGTCTTCTTCAGGAGACCATGGTCCTTTCTTCACATTTGCCTTGTCACAGCAAGGAGCCCTCCCCATCTCTCTCTCTCTCTCTCTCTCTCTCTCTCTCTCTTCTTTTCTGAGTCTTCTTAAAGTGTAGGGGTCGACTTTGTGTGGTTATGGTGGCTTTTATTTAAGAGAGAATTGGGTTAGGGCTGTAAGATATTATTATGGTTTGTTTAATAATTACTGTGTGATGCAGAAGTCAAAAGGACAGGGCTGGCAGGCTGTTTAATCAGTTTATAACTCTTATGCTCTCTCTGTCATATATATATATATATATATATAGAACAAGTTTTTATCTCAGATATTGGAACCCTATATCCAAACTTCCTCGGTCTCTTCTTCTGGTTCAAGAATCCAAAGTCCTTTGGTTATAAATCAAGTAAAATATTAGTATATACAAGCAAACTAATTGATGGCTATGTGTTTCTTAATTGACTGCCACATTTTCAAACTATACCCTAAGTTATAGGTAAGTAAATGAGAATGTAACGCAATAAAAAACTGTTCGATCTTCTTATATAGCTTCATGTCAATCTTCAATTATGTCTACCCAAAAAAAGCATAGTTCATTACAAAAATTGCTGAAATAGATTAATTAAAAATGTTAGAAATACACAAATACATCATATATTGATCAAGCATTCGTACATAAGAAACTCAATAAGTGCACGATTATACATTAAGGGTTGTAGTTTAGTGATACTTGTATATAAGTAAAAATGAATGAGTAAATGTTTTTCATAGCAGGTAAAAAAACTAAAATAAAATAAAAATTAACAAATAGGATAACGATTGTCATGTTATTTAATAAATGAAATTGGACAAATCACCCTTGCGACTATTTAAATTAAGCATGGCTAGTTCAAAATTTAAATTAGTATGTGCATGTCAAAAGAGAGAAAAAAGGCGAAGGATAAAAAGGAAGTGGTGAAGGACCTTCCTTGAATGATTCTGTTTCCCTACTGCATATGGGATATAGGCATGGTGACTGATGAGAATGATCATGATGATGAGTTCAAATATATACATATATATATAGATTCATCTGATCAATCAGGTGCTTTGGATGGACTAATCAATGCCACCCTTTTGAATTGTTTTGTCAGAGCTGATATACGATAGGCAAACCAATTTACTGGTCCAAGTGAATTGAAATTAAAATATTCCTTAATGGAGATTTGTGTGGCTAAAAATGTCACAATGGTACAGAAGGCAAAAGTTCCAACTTAATTTACTAGTGGCCTTTGTTTTTCATTAGTGAACTTAGTTTAATTAATTACTTAGTGGCCTTTGCCATTTCTTTCACATGCTCAAAATTAATCCCTTTCCTTTATTCAATTAATAGAATAGATAATATATAATAATAAGAAAATATCTAAGAATCCATATTTCAAAGGGATGATCATCCCTCCAAGTTCTCATTATATTAACACTTCACCAGCTTGAATTAAAATTTGAATTTGCTTACTCTAACTACTCAAAAATTAAGTATAAATCATTCGCAAGAGTAAGAATTTCTTATCATGTATTTTACCTCCTCATAAACAAGAGATTGAGGGTTGCAGTCTGATCCAATTATGGGCGTGTGTAATTAGAGGTGTCAATGTTTGACACTATACGTTAATACGTTTTGAACATAATACGAAATAAGTGAATTTGGGTTTGAGTTAATTGTATTCGGATCGTAATTTTGTTGATCCATTTTGACACGGTTATTAAATGTATTATGTTCGTATTTGAACTATCAACTCGTTTATAACAGTTTAACTAAACATATTAAATAAACATGTCGTATTAATGTTAAAATGATTTATTTAACTAAATGTGTTAGATAAATAGAATATTCATATTTTGATACGGCACGAACGCAATTAACCTATATGTAACTAATTAGCTAGTGCCAAAAAAAACAAAATAACACTGTAATCAATTGTAACATTCAAGTTAAGATATGCATAATTTTAATATATATTTTTAGTACGAACTTATGAATTGAAAAGCTGAATCCTATCAAAAGAAGAATGCTACAAACTTTTTGCATGCTTGAATCAATTCATAATAATGATTACATTGATGGCCAAATCTTTGAGATGGTCCAGTGGTAGAAGCTAAGAAAAGGTCATAATGTAGCCATGTAGGTGCACATTGACTTTTATCCTTACTTCCCTGACCAAAAGGAAAAGAAATGACTCAAGTCTTACAGTGGTTAACTTTTTGGTTAGTGTGTCAAGTTGGCATTTTAGAATATTTCAAGTTTGAACCAAAAATACCGTGTCAACATTGGTTTATTGGTTGATTAGTCCATATATCAAGAAAGCTTTAGATATTACCACATCATGATCGAAAATAGTAGTAGTAGTATATTAAACAAAGACTAGCTAATTAATGTCAGGAAATAGTAAAATTCCCAAAAGATTAGGATTAATTCCCAAAAGATTAGGGTTTATTCCCTCTCTTTTTCATTCAACTCATCTCTTCATAAACTGATTCAAGCTTCAATCACCATCATTGTTTTAAAACCGTTACATTGCAAAATTTGACTTTTGCACAAGCCTATCTTAATTGAATAATCAGAAGACCATGTCATACCTTAAATAAAATAAAACTTACAACTTCTAGTTTAAATTTTGAAGAAGTTGATGGTTAATTTAGGATTAGAAGAAGTGCTTTGTTTGACATTCAGAAAACAGTTATTAAAAATTCAAAAAATAAAAAACTATTTTTATAATTATATCCATATGCCTAAAGGGTAGTTCATAAGAAGAAAAATAAAGCAAGCCCCAATCTTGATATACTAATTAATAGCATGATTGAAATTGAGTGTTAGCATGAGATTAAAAAAAAAAATTGAATGGGAGAGTCAAATAGAGGTTGGATTCATAAAATAAAAAGCTGAAGCTTCTAGTTTCGGATAGAGGGAATCTACATTAAATAACAATCTTGTAAATTGCATATTTAAGTATAAACAAAATGAGTTCTCAATTTTAATGTTTTAGTAATGTTGTTGATTGGGTCATCACAAACGTAAACGCGTCTAAGTATGCGAACCACCAACCCTTCAATAATGTTTTGTGATTAATTGATACACAACACTTTATACTCTCCATTAATTTTATATCTCGAAATGTCACTCATTCTATTCAACCTCTCATGACGTTCACATTATAGATCATGGGTTGAGTTTTGCTCATGGTTCTAGAAAAATTCTGATAACTTTTGCGTCAGAGAGTGTATAATTTTTTTAAAATTCAATATAAAAATTTGTCTATTGATTGATTCATTCATGTGGGTTATGAGTTAATAAGGTAAAAACTTTGAATAACCGCGTCGACTGATTATGGTAATTTTTAAATTTATCTTTACATACAACTTCACAAAACTTAGAACTTTCTTCCATGATTTCTAACAAATAAAATAAGAATTACATAATGGTAAGATTGTTTTATTATAATTTAAAATTTAATATATTTGTTTATATATTTTCCATCTATACTGTATGCATAATGTACGTGGTAGTATTACATATCATTTCTTTCTGAAAAATCAAACGAATTTTTTGCAATAAACATGGTAGTTGACTTGTCTTTACTTTATGAAGCAATCATTGATTCAGTTAACTTTATTTAATCATGAATGTACATATCCATAGTATTCAACAAGATTGTATTCTCTATTTTAAGTACTACTAGTAATTTAAAATTTAGCATAATCTATAACATGATTGTCAATAATTAATTTAAGGAGAAATGTAATGTAATATCGCAACTAATCAACCATCCAACTACCCAATTATCCAACTCTATTTTAGGGATTCAATTCCGATCCCATGCAACGTTTATATTGTTAATGTAACACATTACATCGTAAAATAAAAAATAAAAAAATTTGCTACATAAGCAATGTAATATAATTGTTGCACAAATGAAGTAAAATTGTAACATATATATATTTATATATATATATAAACGATATGAAATTATTACTCAGTACATAAGTAATGTAATGACACAAAAAAAATGTTCGTTTGTTAAATGAGATCCCATCCCAATTCATTAGTTATCTAAGACTTTAACTTATCCTGTATCCACATCTAAAATAAAATGATAATGAGAAAGCCATGGTTGCACGATCTTACGTAATTACTTTAAGTCACAAATTGGGTAATTGATAAACCCTAAATTGACAATCTGAGTGAAAGCCATTGATAGGTTCTATACTATCAATTGACGTTTTTAGTAAAATTAATCAAATACTGTAAAACAATTGGGCTAAGGGTCAAATGAATATAATAATTTTTCTTGAATATCTCCTCAGTACGAACCGACCTTTAGAGCTCATTCCACTGAATATATTCTAAGAAGAGATAATGTCTATATTCTTTATTATTTTGATCAACAAATTATTGTACCGAAATTCTCAGGAAAACAATGGAGACACAATATTTAATTTGGCTGCTCTCATACTTGAATCCAAAACTTTAGCTATCCAAGTTTTGTTTTATTTCATTATAAATGTGCAATGGATTGTTTTGATAATTTTGGAGGCGGTTTGAGAAGGACAAATATTGGGGATTTTTTTTTTTTTCCGTTGAGGACATTTTAACGAGCCCATTTTGGCCTAAACAAATCTCTTTACAATCGGAAAAATGGTCAACTCGCACAATTCAACACACTACTTTTTATTAATTTTGACGTGATTTAGTCAAAATCAGATTCGGAATTTTTTTTTTCATGACTCTTTATATTAACCTTTAAAACTCTCATAGATTTTATCGATAAATTTATATGTTTATCTCTTTACTTTTCTAGTTATTACTATTATTATTTTTTTAATCCACTCTTTCTAGTTATTCAACACTAAGTCACACAATTCGTTCAAAAAGGTCCCGCTCTCAAGCTCCGCATGCAAATTTGTGATTTGAGAGTGAATTCGCACAAAATTCGCGAATTCAATTTTTGCAATTAGTGGATTTGTTTTTCTAATTCGTGGTTTTTATACGAATTTACTGACACAATTATTCAATATATACATTAATTACTTAAATTTCACATGTGCCCTACTTGTATTGCATTGATGTGTGTGTATATATATATATATGTGTTAATTATATATGTTTGACAATATACTACTAAAAAACTTCCCAATTGGAGAATATTACAAATAAATCACTCATCAATTAGAAAGTTAGCTTATTTATTACCTATATCATTAATGAAATAAATAATAATGAATATATTTGCATATGAATTTAAATAAATAAAAAATAAAAAATATATATGTCTTTATCTGATATAATTTTATTTAAATCTAATATACAGACGCTCTTGCCTTAAAAATTTTTAAACTTTGACGCTTCTGCGCTGTTGTTTTCGCTCCCGCTCTCACACTCGCTGACTTCGATTCAACATGTTGCTTTTCTTAATCATATATTTTTCAATAGGTAGAAGTGTGTACATAAAGTTTGTTTGTATGCACATACATCCCGCTCTCGCACTCGTTGGCTTAGATTTAACATGTTGCTTCTCTTAATCTTATATTTTTCAATAGGTAGAAGTGTGTACATAAAGTTTGTTTGTATGCACATACATCCCGCTCTCGCACTCGTTGGCTTAGATTTAACATGTTGCTTTTCTTAATCTTATATTTTTCAATAGGTAGAAGTGTGTACATATAGTTTGTTTGTATGCACATACACATGCAAATGAAAAATGGGTACACACTTGAGGAGCACAAATTTTGAAAATTCACAATTCAATCTCATTGGTGAAAGGAGAAAATAAAATAAGAGATTGAGAAAAAGCATTTGTTTACTATTTATTTAAAAAGAAAAAGAAAACACTGCAAGCTCACATATTTAATAATTAGGTGTGCTATTATAAATTAAACCCTTTGTTTGTCTTCTCTTATGCAGCATCGAATCTTTTATTTGAAAAAAAATCACATAACAGAAAGGGTCTTCAAATCTCTCTGAAAATATAAACTAACAAATTTAAAAATAAAGGATATTGATGTGGACATAATTGAATAAAGAACAAAAAGAGACAAGTGTCTTCATCTCCATTGACTCTTAGGAATGATGCAGACTTGTGTTGCTCTCATTTCTCAAAGGGTTGGCTAACTAAGGAAGAAAAACTTTAACAAGCTGTCTTTTTTAATTATTTTGTTAACTCCTTTAATTTGAATAACTAAACAAACACTGTTTCATAAAGTTGACAAATTGTTCGTTTTTTGTTCTTGCGTCACCATTCATATTTTGGGTTAAATTATTCATTATCTCCATGAATTTTACATAATACAGTCGGACACAACCTTAAGACTGACTTAATCCAAGCTAAACTACTAAGGAATAAGAATGTTATAAATTAAAATTGGTTGAGATAATGAAAATGACACGATTGTGCGTGTGTGTATCAAAATTTTAACTGAGGAGAGGGCTTTACATAGATTAGATTGGAAATTTCGAGTAAAGAACGAAGTCCTTGGCGGCATTCTCATCATGGACTATGGACACACAAACTGAAAAGTATGTTTTCCAGGCCTTAACCATAGATTAGGTTGAAAAACAACGTATAACATACACGGGCAAAGTTCGTGAGTATTGATCGTTGCTCCATTTTTAATCAAGAATGAGTCTTTTCGAATCAAAAAGAGATCGTTGAAATTGTTCCAAAAAAACGTGTCAATCTACTATTTGGTATTGTAACTGTCTAAACGATTTCCATAATTATCGACAACCTATTCTACGTCAAGAAACTATAAACCTAGAATATAAACAGTGATATGGCTACTCATTCATCTCACATGGGAGGCTTGTATCTTCCCCAGTTAATAGCCCTCGTGTTTGGGCCAATTTTCAATGCCTATATATATGTCACTTTGTTTTGTTGTTTAATTAGGTTATTCGGTGAAGATAGGATGCAGGTGTGTGTTTCTCTATTCCTGCATAAGGTCAAGCACTATTTTAAATAAGAATAGAAATGTTGGGTTTCAACAATTTTAAAAAAATAAAATTATTTTTAAAAAATCATAAAAGACAATTCTTTCAAAACATGTCTTTTCACAATATTAGTAGTTTTCAAAAACAAAATTAAGTAGAATTTTTGTGCTTTTTTTTTTTAATTTTAATTCCGTGCAAAATTGCGTGTTTTCGGAATTACAAATTAAATAGACCATTACCTTCATTATGTTGAGAATTTATCACTATGATTAATTTTCCAATGAAACATTATCAAATTTAATTACAACATTGAAGCAAATGAGACACGAGGGTTATAAACAAAAGATGTAAAATCAAAGGTAGATAGATTAAGATATTTGCTACCAAATTGCTAGCTACTTGAGATGACACGCGCACACACACACACATACACACACCATCTCTATCACAAGCCAGCACATGTTACGGCATTATTTGAAGATATTATTATCATGCACGTACCATGGAAACGCCTCGGTTCAGTTATAGGTTGCCATAGCTTTTCCTTTTAATTTATTGTTATTTAAAATGAAAATTCATGATTCATACCAAATTTATTCATCTCATTTGGTCTAACACCTATCCAAAGCTGTGGTGGGTAGGCTGATTAGGACCAAGCAAGAAAAAGGGGTTGTGGATATTAATTGGTTCTAACAACTTTTACCATATTTGGACAGTGCAGAGACTCCACAAAGGTCATTTATTCTGATGATATTTTAAATTAAATATGCTTAATCGTAGAGTTTTGATAAATTCACGATCATTAAGACTTTAAAATGTGTTATATTATGAAAGGGTGTAGAACCTACATATATCACTTTCTATTTTTAAACGACGTGGGATTATGACACCATGTAACCTGTTAGTGCTCAGCCAAATCACACCTGCCTACATAGGTCGTCACAATGGCGTAAATTTTTACCAACTAAAAAAAAAAGAATAAACACAGTACACTATATTTTTGTCAAATGTCCGAATATATAAAATAAAAAAAATTTCTCAACAACAAATGGGTCCATAAAGTATCGAATGTGTTAATGAGGCTTATGTATGGAGTGTCTTTGTTAGCACCAGTGTTTGAGCTTTTAGAAAAACAATTTTCTTCTATGGCAGTTCCTCCATCTCACAAAATTTGTTCCTTTTTTAGCAAAGTCATTTATTATAGTGATATGAAATGAATTTATAAATATACCCCTCTATAATGATCTATATAAAGTATTATTTATAATTTTGTTTTTATAACTTCAAAACGAGATGGATAAATTAAGAATATTAAAAAATAATAATATATTAAAATTTAAATTGACACAATTATTTTGGGACAATAAAAAATAAAAATATGAACACATATAAATTTTTTTTAAAAAAATAATTAACTAAATATTAAAAAATAATAATAATAGTGAAAGTTGGAGAAAACAATGAACAAGGGGTTGCCCCGAAATTAAAGGCAGAACAGAAAAGTCAAATTAGTCCAAGTGAGATTCGACAGACAAGAAAGTTTCGCTGTCGTGATGACGTCACAAGTTGCGTGTTTGTTTCTTCTTCCATCCACTAGCGGAGAAATCATTGTCAAGATTCGTGAATCCGTCGTGCACCTTTCACCTCGATCTCCTCGCTCCACAAAATGCCCATTTTTTATTTGTTGGTCCCCAACTGAGTTGGCTAGTCTATAATTTTTATTTTCTGACAAATAATTACCATTTTAATCGTCTCACCATTCTTAAAATAACTCATAATTCCTAAAATATTATTGTTATAGACTTGTAGTAGATGATCCATACTCTTAGCAATTCGTCAATATGCTCGTGAGACATCTTATTTTAAATTTTTTTTTTTTATATTAATTGCCTTAAAAGTCAGACTCATTATGAAGTCTAAACAGCAGGTACACTGCTAATTCACAGTTCAGCGAAAAAGATTTACAGTAAAGTTTGATTTTAGAAGAGAGTCCAAAGAATCAATCCATAATGATGGCATTGTCTAATCGGAGAAAAACTTCATTGCACGCAACAGGCACAGATGCGTTGGTTCATATAATAGACATGTCACGCGTGTATCCAACACACACACACACCCCATGTATGAACGGTCGGATGCGCCCAGAACAATGGACACAATAAAGTTTGTCGTCTTGAAATTTAAGATTTATTTGGCATAACTTTTACTTTTGCTTTTATAAAAAAGAGAAGCACAAGCCATCACTTCTATTTGGCTTTAAACGTCTGATTCCTTAAAAGGTCTCAAGGGGTCGACTTTTGAAACGGCCTTCTTTTTTTGGCCCAGTTGAAATTGTTTAACTGTGGAATTTAGTCCTGGGCTTCAAGTTGGGAGACAACCCAAACCCAACAAAGGAATCCATTTCAGCTCAAGCCTGGGCCTACTGGCACTCAAGCTAGTGTGTGTGTGTTCGCGCGCCCACGCGCTTCCTTCTAATTACGAGGAGAAAAGAAAGAAGAATGCACTGTAAAACAAACGAGAGTTGTATACAGAGAATCGAATGTCTAATTTCATTCGTTAAATGATGCAGATAGTATATGAGAGCTACTCATTTAACAGACGATGTCGGATAGTCATCACTGGCTTTTGTATATGAGAGCTACTCATCGCAATGTGTTTCCATCATCCGAAACAAACTGATTGGAAATCCATGACAAAATCAGTCTAGCCAGCTCAAGCATTATGTCAAAGACACTTCTGGGAAGAACTCCAGACATTCTTGCTCGAAATATTTTCTTGTCCACAACAAACATAAAAAGGTTACCAAGGTTTAAATTAGATATGACATGTCTGCCAAGGGTTTAGATATTCATTGTGTTGTTCATGAGAACTGATACAAACCAGGTAAAGGAAGACCATTGTAATGGGGTTGCATCATCATCTGTTGAGACTACCTCATATGGGGATCAGGCAAGCCCTAGGCTGGTGCTGCAACTGTGCAGCATATTACTTTATGACACTGACTATTACAAGGATAGAAATTAAACTTATGTCTCATTCAATATCAAAAAGTACCCACACAACTAGAAGCACTTGGAAAAGTTTAGGTAGTTACAAAGCATGGCAACATGAAAACTTACATGTGCATGAGGACACACACCATGGTTCCTCGCAAGGAATTTCTCTCCCCCTCTATTAAGGAAGCTGCGCTGCTCCACATTCTGTGTTTGTCTTGGATGCAAAAGGAGTAGGAGATTGAACAAGTGATAAATGTGCACGGCATCAAGCAACATGTTTGTCGAATAAAGTAGATGTCATAAAAACCAGTGTCTTCTCAACAACCAGGCAAGGATAGGTCATCTTCATCTCTGCAGCAGCGAATAATATAGTAGATTAGAAGCACATCTGAAGCAGCTGTAAAGATGGGTAACAACTATATTTGCCACGAGAATATTTGGCTTAGAAGAAAAGGCTTCACAAAGTACAACATTTTGTCAGTTCAATTTACTTATGTAGTTCTTCCACCACCTATACCTATTAGTGCTATTTTCTAGCAGCATTTTTGCTCCACATATCCAGAACAGATCTGTTATTTCTCTAAACTACTCAAAGTGGCCTAAGCTTATTATTTTTGGACATCTTGTTCTCTTCATATCAATGTCAACTATATGTTTCTCATCATGTATGGTTCAAGGAAAAAAAAAAAAAAATGAAATGGTTTTAAAATGCTCACTGTACCGTTGCATTGGCAGGACACTAACTAAGCTATTTTTAGCTTTACTTTGAGGAGGAGAGGGAGGGGGGGGTGAATGCTTATTCGAGAAACATAATTAAGCAAACAACAAAACATAGATACAAACCTGAAAAAGTTTTAAGTTATCTTTACATCCCGAAGAAGACGAGCTGCCATAGAGCCATATCTTCTTGCTTCCCATTCACCAAGCTTCCCTTTTTGGAGATTTGTAACTGGCATGCTCTCTTCTTTGACTTTTTCGCCATCAAAATCATCCACTTCATCTAGCCCACTACTACCATCACCCTCCTCCTCCTCTCCATGCTCAGCTTTACTAGTTTCAACCTCATCAATTTGCTGACCAACTGGTGTCATAATCTCTATGCTTTCTTCACGAGGCTTAAATCTCAGAATGAAAAGTTGGATGCTTGGGTGTTGGTACTTGCTGTCCATCTAGATGGGATAAAGGGGTTCGAATCAGTTACAGCAAAAAGAGAGATTTGTTTTGTTCGCATAAGTTATGAATACCAATTATAACCTATGCTCAACTCTGAAGCATAGATTCGTAAGCACCATATTAACATGCATTAACCTAATATCAGTTTAATTTGGATATATTTTCCATGTTGCAAGGCCAACCACTGAAAGTTGCTCCCAAGTAAAAGAATATGATACCAAGCCTTAACCTAATATAAGATTAATTTGGATAATCTTATCCAGTACTCCGCTAAAAGAGTTTCTACTGTAGGACTTATCATGGTAATCAGGTAGTCCAAACACATTTGAAAATCCTTTACTTTATCAGATAGCACAAAGATCTTTGTAAAAGCCCAGTGCTGGGTTGCGATTGTTACTTGGAAACGGCATGATGTTCTTTAAAGATATCTCAAGTATTCAGACCCAAAGCTTCTCCAAGTACATAACATATACCTTTGCTTTTGGAATAATCTTCACCTCAAAGTTTCTCTTCCACATGTGAAGCATTTTTTCATGGACATTTGTAGAACGAATCTCATACCCCAACTGCATATTTCAGTATTAAGTGGCCACATCTATTAAATTTGTTTTTGTAGACCCAAAAAAAAGATATTATAAATGGATATTTTGAGGATACATTACCAGAATTGTCGTTTTGGGTCCTGATAATGCAAGCATCGTCCTCAAAAGAGGTTCCAAGAGATGCTCCGCGTAAACCTTAAACAAAAAATAAGAAAATTCATTCCTAAGTTGAAATAAAATGAAATAGTGTTACATCTGAATACTCTGTCTTTAATTTACATAAAGAAAGGTTATGATGCAAGACGGGGTAGGGGCGATTCGAAATCAAATTTCAAGAACAAGGAGGAGAAGACAATAGAAAGGGAGACGAAATCACTCTAATTTCAATGCATTCAATAATCAATCATAAAAAGGTACCTTAACAATGTTGATAACCCACATATAAATAGGCATCAAGGAAAACCCTAATCAAATCCTACTACCATAAATAAAACCCTAAAATACTAAATTACTTAAATATCCTAAATTAAAAGTTACTAAAATAATTATAATAATAAATAAACAAAAATTCCTGATTCATCTATCATTCCCACGTCCCCAATAATAGGTGTGGGAGTAATTCAAGCTCTTGGGCCATGTTCGGTTCTTCATCAGGTTGTCTGAATGACTGATATTTGATATATGTAAATAACTGTCAGAGCTACAAGAATTCCAAACAGTATGCAAACATACCCAGTAAGCATAATTGTTGGAATCAAGGAGGTTAATTCAAATGCTAAAAGAAAGAAAGAAAAAAAAAAAAAAAAATCAAACAATCCTTGAGATGATACAGTGGCTACAGTGGCTGACACATCCCTTAGATGCTGTTCATACAATCTTAAAAGCAGCAGAGAAATCATTAGATAGAATCCTAAGAAAGATAATCTGGCAAAGTAACTTGTATTGTTGAGTTCAGCTCCCCTTCTTTGAGGGCCCGCAAGAATTTTTCCTGGACTAAAATTGACATGTGACATTGGGGCCTGCCACATGTCCAGAGGGATTAGTCTCACCCAAAGGGTGGAGACACTCCTTTAGTCACCAAAAAATAAAATAGTAAATGGATAAATAAATAAAGTCACTTATTTAACAAAATGCAATGTTATCAATTATTCTTGACTGTGTAAGTAAAATAAGGGCTCATATTATAGGAGTATGATGCAGGGAAGGGTTAGAATTTGAACAAAATTTTAGGTGGTGATGTACTGCTATGCTAAGCATAACTGGTGAATAGAAGAGAATTTCTCAACTCTTCGAGGAAGTGTTGAAGATGTGACACATTGGATCCATTTTCTTAAAAGTTTCTTTTTCAATGAAATCCTCATTCTCAACTTCAGTCCAGGTTTGTTCTTTCAATTTCCCAGACATTAACACATGGGACAATGGCATCATCCAATTATGATAAAATTAAGAACCACAGATTCATTCCGGTAGCAATGGTCCTCAAAATTGCTGGACTTGTTGCCAGCAAAACTTGAAATTTCTTAATCTGTTGCAACAAAAGCCAATTAGATTTTTAATAGAGAGGCTATTCTTCTTCTTCTTCTTCCCAGCAAAACTTGAAATTTCAGAATTTGCCATTACAAAAACCAATTAGAATTTTTAATAGAGAACTTTTTCTTCTTCTTCTTCTCTCTCTCTAACACACACACAAAACTTACAGTTGGAAAAAAGCAAACTTTAATTCTCTGGCCTTAACACACATGGGGGCAATTGAAAATTTAAGAAGCCTATATGTAACAACCATAAAACTTAATTGGAATCCAAGAACATCGATAACCACTCAGTCATGACGGTTATGCCTTCCTAGTTTAATGCTTGGTCATTACTCTTTAGCATATATTTTCCACGAATGTATGTCATAGGCTATTTGTATTGAATTAGAATAATGCACAAAACCGGAATGGAAATAATTTTTTAGTTAAAAAATAAACAATACAATACTTCATTCTGAAAAATGATGAAGAATATTGGGATGCAAACTCAGAAAAATTATGAAAGAACACCAGCAGAACTTTAGGAACTAGATTCAAAACATCATGAATCTGTTTCAGTGCCACAACCAATATGCACACACAGTAAGAAACACACAAATATTAAGTTCCAAAAAATAAAAAACAAACAAATATTACTATTTTATTGTTTGCCAATGCAAGTATTACAGTAAGGTGTGGGAATACGTTTGCTCAAATGGATAAAACTTACAACATCAGTGCCAATTATGTAGTCAAATGGTGGATCAACTGCCTTTATATGCACATCATTACCCCAGTTGAGCTCTGCAACCTGGTTAGAACCAAAGGAATCTACAAGGGATAAAATTTCCAAGTGAGAGACCAAAATATCCACAAACTCCTTCAATGGCATTAGTTTTTTACAGCTTTCAATCAGATGGACAACAGATTCTCGACATAATTAAGCCACTAACATTTAATCAATGCACAAAACTGGAATGGAAATCATACTTCCAATCAAAATTAAGTGCATAATGTATAGAGGAAAGAGAAACAGACCAGAAACTGAACAGCAAACCTGAACCAGGATTCTCCTGCAAAATCCTTGAAGTATTACGCTCAACATTTCTCATTAGCAGTGGCAAAACCTCAGTTTGGTCTGTTGAAACTACATCACATCCTAGCAATGCCATGCCTGAAAAAGGCAATAACACCAAATAAATTCAAATAGACTGGACAGAGTTCTAGAGAGCATTCATATTTAAAAATACACCAAATTGTAGGAAGCTCACCAAATCCAGCTACTCCACAGCCTGCCCCAAGTTCAATAACACGTTTTCCTTTCAGTTTAGAAGGGCAAAACCTTCCCTTTCTACAATTTTTCTCCTAAGCAAGTCAACCAAATAACTTTAAAACTGGCATATGCAAACTTCCATTTATTTGAACAAATTGTTCAGCAGTGAGAACACTGAGTTGAGGAATCATAAATCAAGATTTCGGCCATTCCATCAATTGTCAGTTGCTTTAACAAAAAAAAAAAAAAAAAAGTTTCATGGCAATATCTGATGCTTTCAGATCCTTGTCATGTTTAGATAAAGATGAAAATATATCCAGAAACCGAAATACTCAAAAAATATATATATATAAATACAAAATATCATAAATATTTTTATACACGTATGATGTAGCTGGGATTGACAGGATGAATCCAGCTCCACAGTTCAACTCTACTGTTTTCCGTTACTTCATATTTGTGAAAAATAACATAAACATTTTCAAGTATGTATATAAATTTTAATGTAAGAAGCAAAGCTAAAGGGATTACAAACACTACCAGAAATTTGACGAGCACCATTGATGCATCCCAAACTGTAGTTCCGAGATGCTTGGAATTGGGATCCTAGTACAATTATAACAAACTTGCAAATGTCAGTGAAGCAATAAGAGATGGATAAGATAATTAATATAACAAATGTAACGTTCAATGATCTATACCATGAATCTGATGCTCGGTAGCTGATGCAAACATGGTAAATCTCAAATGCATAATTCATTATAAAAATCTATGGTAGGCAGGCAAACATGCCTTTATGTATGCCATAAATTCAAAAGTTAGTTCAGTCTTATTTAAATAACCTTTGAAATTCGTAATACAGAATGCAGTATTTAAATTGATAAAACTTTCCTTTGAACTAATTACAGCCCCTTTACTATGTAAATGTTAAGATAATGTCGTCTTGAAATCAGCAGAAATATAAAATATATTTCATTATGAGTCCAAGCCTTTGGATCCCTTCATAACAGAATATAACGCTCAGATGGATTAACTTCTCTAACAGTGAGATTTCTGTTGAACCCATAGAGCTCAAACTCCAGGTGCATGAATGTAAGGTTGCAGCAAGTGATACCTTTCTGGAAATATACCCAGAAAGTAAGGGAAGTAAAAAATTGTGCACAAAATCTACCAGAAGACTAATACCTGAGAAAAATGCAGCTGATGGCCCAGAACTTCAAATATAATTGCGGATGTGCTTGGAGAGTTTAACCTGGAACACAAATGTGAACGATCTTAAAGCCCAATTTCTTGAATTATGAGTAAAAAAATATCAAACATAAATTCCTTTCTAAACTTAAAAAACATATAAAACATAAATTCCTTTCTAAACTTTCATTGCCTGAGAAAACAAATTGCACACGTAAAACAATGGGAATATAATGATAAGCAGCTCAAAGAATTAGGGATTGTTTCCTGTTGTTGGCAATACATAATACATTATATATGTGAAAATATCACACTTACAATTGAAACAAATTTCTTATACCATGCTTACAAATAATGCCTAATTTACTAGCAAAATTATGTCTCAAAAGTCAAACAAGAGAAAATAGATAGCATTCTTGCCGACAGCATGATAAGTGCCCTACCACTATTCACATCTCCATTGTTATTACCTTTGCACCTTATTCATATCCAAGTGCAATTATATATGATGCCAAAGATGTAAATTCATGCATGCAATTTAATGGTATAAACAGGAACAAACATCTCTATTGAGGCAATGTTTCACAGCAAAGCACTTTTGTCTTTATGCTATCAGTGCCAAACGGCTGCTCACATTCTGTGTAATCTTCTCAACACAACACCATCTGTACACAAAACATACAGGCAACATCGTGCCACCATCTTCATTCAACTCATCTCTTTTTCCCATCGACAACATTGCAAACTTTGTGTCCATTAAACTTGATAGATCCAAATCCTACCGCCAGTCATTCCAAAGTAAGTGTATCTTACAATATTTGAAGGCTCTTGATGTTCTAGTATCACTTCTTTTCTTTTTTTAATTTTTTTTTATGAGTTCTGGTATCACTTTTCAGCCCGGGGCTCTATTTTTGTTATCTGACTTTTATGATGCTAATTGGGAAGATATTCCCACTATCCGTCATTCCACTACTGGCCTTTGCACCTTCTTAGGTCCAAATCTTGTCTCATGGGATTCTAAGAAGCAACCGAATGTCGGTTCAGTGCTGAGTAATTTGCTAATACTAGTTCTGAGGTTTTACGGCTTTCATCTCTTCTTTTTGAATTTCATGTCTCTGTTCAGCAACCTGTGGTTCTAAACTGTGACAAGCAAAGTGCAACTCACGTTGCTGCTCATCTTATGCTACATGGTCATACCAAACATGCCAAGTTGAGTAACACTTTGTCTGGCATTTTGTTGCAATGGCACTCTCACTATTAGATCTGTTTGCTTCCACAGCTCAATTGGCTGATATTGTAACAAAAGGCTTTCCCGTGTTGAATTTCTACATCGTAGATCCAAGCTTACGGCCATTCCTCATTAGCTTGCAAGGGAGTAGCAATGAATAACCCATTATTCATATCTTCATTGTAGTTACCTTTGTACCCTAATCCCTATTTAAGTGCATTGATATACGATGTCCAAAGATGTAAATTCAATTTTCTAATGTACTCCTATCAATAAGAGCATACAGCCCACTCAAGGCAATGATTTAGAGAGAACTTTTTGCTCTCAGTCAATGTTGAATAACTAATTGTTATTAAAAGGACATATCAACTATTATTTGGCACCTCAACTAGATTATTGTTGTTGTTATGAGTAACTGCCACTCACATCTATTGTTCCAGGTGATTATAGTAAGCAATCAACATTATGTACATGTTTAAGAACATTTTAATTGACTTGATAATAAATAATTAACTTGTTCATGATATCAATTTACTCTAATCTAATATCAAATATGTTAACCAATGCCCATATTGTGGCATCTAAGTTCAGAGGTTCATGGAAAATGGCGAACTAATTATCTCCCACATATTTACCAAGCAATCAATTATCAACAATTCTACCTCAAAGAAATGCACATTTTTTAATTTCATTGGTAGTGCATTAATATTATGTATCCTAAAAAAAGTCAATTCATTAGAAGTTAGAATGCGATGAGCTAGTTTTGAGTGTAGAACGTTTTATTTTTTTCCAACATATGAGGTCTAAAGTCATTAGCATAAGGTTCTGCTTGGATCTTGAAAGAATGAGTGAAAGGAAATTGATCGAAAAAATGCTTAACAATGGCAGCCATTCTCAAGCATTTTGCTTTCCTCTCCTTTCTTCAATTCTCTTTTTCCAAAATCAATATGAAGATTAAAATGCACAAGTTTTCCATTCACATTTAAAAGCATGTTTGTTGTGATACCAATGGAGAGTATAAAAATACTCATTTCCTATTGGCAGCGGTCATTTGATTTGTGGCTGTTAACTTTTATCTTTTACTGTGAAGTGTGAACTATGGTTTTGCTAGGTTTTAAATTCATTATTTTTTAAACGCATAGAGAATGGTAAAAGAGAGGAATCAAGCAAAAAAAACCTAACTAATTGATAAATACAATGTTTTTAAATGCTAATGCACCAAGATTCGGATGATTCAATCTGGATGGCTGAATAAAAGGGTACTACTTTAAGGTTTGGAACACAATTACAAATGCAAGATGTAAAAACAATGAATAGATTGCCTAAAATTAATGACAATAAGAAGAAGAAAACCAGAGAAATTCAAACAATACAATAATATTATATAAATAAATGATCACTGAGCAAAATACCTGTCAGCCTCCATAAAGGCAATTTATGAAGAAAACTAGTATTTTGGTATCGCACCCTTCTTTTGCTGTTACACACGCGCAAAAGTCAAGAATTAGATATAAAAAAATAAAGGCAGAACTCCAAAATCCAGCAATACCAATAATTCGAAATGCATGCCCTAAGCTGAAGTTATTCAGTTAAAGTGATCGTCTGATTGGTTGCTAAAATGGGTAGGAAAAGAAATTCATAGTTTTGAGTCTTAGAAAAATTATAAACCCTCCACTCATCCGAGCAACGAAATGTACAGAAAGAAAATATCACACAGTTCTCTTTTTCTTCGATTTCTTAGCAAGCAAACAGAGGGTCTGGAAGACGATACCCAAATCACTAGTTATAAACCTTGACGAAAGAAATCAAACATAAACTCAGAGAAAATCACCACACAAATGGAAAGTTAGGGTAAATGCACAATAATAGAATAGACAGCGGAGTCACTACTCTTTGCAGGGTTCCCGTGTTTGATCATTGAGATAAAATTACCGATTGATCCCCGGGCACCAAATTGGGCTGTGGGAATTGTGAAATGGAATGGAACTCTACTGTTTTTTTTTTTATTTTTTTTATTTTATCTTAATAATAAAACAATAACCATCTCACACAAACAACCGAATCATGTAACAAAATTTTAATACATTTGGGAGCAACCAATCATTAGTTTGAAATTGAAAATAACGAAATTTAATTCAAACTTTTAATTAAATTTACTCTAATTTTTATTTCGAATTGATTCTATGCTTTCAAACATTATTCTTTAATTTTGTTAAAATTATGAAACAAAATATAATTAAAACCTATATTATGAATTTTGATTGTTTTCATAATAACCAATCTTTTATACAAATAAAAGATAATAAAAAAATTTCTTTAACATAAATAAATTATACTGAGAAAAAATAAGTCACAAGACTCACAACACTTTGACTTCGCAAGTTCTTTTTTTTTTTTTTTTAGCATCAGGAACTCCCCTAGGCAGGGCCCCTTCGGGACCCACCCTAGGTTACAAACTTGGGAGTGCAGAGTCTCGCCCCAAGGATACACCAAGTAAGTCGGTGGTGATAATGGGGTTGACAGGGATCGAACACTGGCCTAGTGTAAGCCAATGCCAAGCACCTACCAACTGAGCCAAGCCCCCGGGGACGCTTTGACTTCACAAGTTAAACTCGAACAAGCTCATGATGGTACAACCTTCCACAAATCAATTATTTTCCATATTGCCGGTGAGAATGAATTCGAATTATGGGTTGAACTCTATTATAAAATATGAGTATTAAATTTTTTTCTATGTATATATAATATTTAAAAGGATAAAGTGCGGAAAAAAAAAAAATTGAATTATATCCAAATTTGTAAGGAACCCCTTGAACCATATTTTGTGCATAACACTCCCTCAACTATCTCATTAGGTTGCAAAATGTCTCAATGCCTACACTATTTTTCATTAACTAACCATAGTGCCCTTTCTTTTTGAATTACACTTAATTTGTTTTTCATTAAAACGTATACTATATTGATGACATATTTTTCATTAAATTTGCATAAGTTTATCTTTTATTTTTATATTAATTGTTTAAATAAAAATATTCAGTAGAAATTTTTTAAACAATTTAGGTAATTTTTTATTTTTATTTCATAAATACATTGTATGGAAAAAAAGGTATTTTTATGTTAAAAAAAAAAGTTTAAACTGAGTATAAGTAGTTTTATTATAAATAATATAGTTTAGTTTAAGTTAATCATATTAGAAAATATGATTACAAATCTATTTAATTTTTTCCATTTTTATGATAAATCGATACTAATAATAAAATTAAGGTTAATAGTGTAATTAATATTTGGATAAGAGAAAAGATAATAAAAATAATTTAATAAGAAATGACAAATTTAATGAGAAAGTGTAAAATAGTATTTTGTGATGAGTTTGTCTTTAATTACAATAAATCAATATTTCAGGAGAATTATTTACAAAAAGGCAATAATTTAGGGGGGTTTAATGCACTTTCGTCTTTACCCTATTTAAAATAAAAATATATAATGATTAATTGCAAAAAATTCTTCCTAACATGTGATCTCATGATTGTAATAAAGGGTATCTTGAAAGTATTTTAATTTTTAATGGTTGAGGAATAAATTCTAATTCAAGAGAATTTGCAAAAAAAATGTTATATATATTATTTTTATTAAACTAGCGGAGCCTGAATTTTTTAAATCAAGACGAGTTCGAGCTTAAGTGTTTTAGCACCTCATGAACCGAACCCGAACCCGAACCCAAGCATACTCCTTAAACAAACTAACCGAGCCCGAACAAACCCAAGCTCCGCTCGGTTGGGTTCATTTGCGGCCCTACCAACAACGCTAAAATGCATGGTGGTGGCCATAGATCACACCAACTTCTGTTACAGTGTGTGCTTCATCTGTGACAAAACTCTCCCCCAAAACTACACGTTATCTTTTTTTCTTGGATAAAGTGCACTAAACCTTCCTAAACTTTCTTCTATTTCTCAATAAACCCCCCTAAACTATCCTGAAGATATTTAACTCTCCAAACTATTTTATTTGTTGCAAATGTTACGTCTGCCGTTAGAAATTTGACAGAAATGAAGGCATGCGTGTCACGTTCCAAAATTTTAAAAAGACAAAATTAACCCTACAACAGTGAATGAATAAAATATGATATATTATATATATATTCTATATATATATATATATATATATATTTTCTGATGTGGCGCGTAATCCTCCATCTCTTCCTCTTCATTCCCTCTCAACTTTCTCTCTCATCCAGCTGTGTGGAGGAGCTATTGTAGTTATGCCGGTCTTTAAGAAACTTCAGTGGCGAAGAAGGAGTCGGTGGTGTCGGATCGAGTTGAAGGACAAGTCGCCGGTGCTTCACTTCCGATGAAGAGGCCCGTATTTTTCTGCGGCTGCCGGATCCAAGAGGCCACCGTCCTCGCCGCCACATTCTCCGGCGGCACCCTCCCTCACTCTGCAAAACCCATGACCTATTTTGGCCTTTCTCTCTCCTTTCTCTATGAACAACCATCATCGGCCACCAACCACCACCATCATCCTAACCCCAAAACTACCGCCACAATCCCCACCTCGCCAATCACCACAGGACCCATTACCCACAATCAAGACCCCCAAAAAAAAAAATAATAAATAAATAAATAAATAAAAACTAGCGCCACAAATCTAACACCACAATTGGCAATATCTCCGCTCTCTTTTCTCTCTACCCCTGCAAATGCAAATACAAATTCAAACCCAAACCCAGCAGCAACATTTCACCCATTTTCCTATTTCCAGCCGCCGTCAAATTCTTCTCTTTGGGCATTAAATTAACTGCCCAAAACCATCAATTGAAGAATTGAAAGACCTCAACTGTGTTTTTTTTTTTTTTTTTTTTTTTTTTCAATTTAATTGGTGGATATGTTGTCTTTAACTTTTTTACTATTAATTTTTTTTGGATCTGTTGTTCTCTTCCCACTTGTCTTTTTTAGTTTGTCGCCGGTGTGTTTCAATTCTGTTGCATCAATGCACCGCCGAATAGTGTGCTCGCCGCCGTTCAGAGCACGCAGACATCATGTCGTCTTCATTTCCTGACTTTTTCGACCAAACTCGGCAACTCGATCTTTGCCATTCAAAGACTCACTGCCGCCGCGTTGCTCCATCTTTGTCTTCTTCCTCAGTGCCCGCGTGAGATTCTCTCTTGGGCTTGGAAAAAGAAAAAGGGAAGCAGCACTAAAGAAAAAACGAACAAGAATAGATTAAAAAAAAGGTCATAAAAGGTTGATGTGCTGTCATTTTTTTAGTGGAGGTAAGAATTATTTGCCACGTCAGCAATTGAAATTAGAATGACCTTAAAAACGGTGTCTTTCAACCTAAGGACTAAAAGGTAATTTGATTTTTCTGTTAACGGCTGGTTGACCGTTGCAACAAAATGATACTTCAAGGGGGTTTCTTGCAATTGGGTCATAGTTCAGGGGTTTAGTGCACTTTACCCTTTTTTCTTCCTCTCCTCTCTGCAAATACTGCAATTTCAACGATTCATTTAACTCCGGCTCGTCCTCTTCCAAACGCCTCTTTCGTGTCCTCGTAAGTATTAATATTTTCCTTTCCTGGGTGTTTTCCCTCTGTCCTCTGTTTGTTTCCTCAGAAAATGGGTTTCTTGTAGAACAATTGGGTCATTTGTTTTTATGATGTTTTCATTGGATTTTGTTGAAATATATATATATACACACACACACACATACATAATACATTTTCTATTTTCACTTTTCAGATGTCTATTGCTACAGATACAAAGGTGTTTGTGGTCATATGCTTTGACAGGTTGCTAGGGTTCTATTTGGTTGCTCTGCTGATGAGTTCTTTGACCCTGCCAAGGTTCACCCTATTGCTGGTACTCGAACTACTTACTTCTTTGATTCATTCCTGAAGTTTTTCTTAATGAAAATGCAACTTATGGTTGTGTTAGGAAACAAGTTAAAGATTTATTATCATGATTTATTCAGTTTACAAACTTATAGTACTCTGTTCCAAGCACTTTTCTAGGTCCAGTTGAATTCAGGTTTTTGTTTTCCTGGGTTCCATTCCAAATAAACTATTCCAGCATTTTTCCCACCAACCAAACAGAACTATTAGGACTTCATTCAAGCTCGATTTTCCTCAAAAAATGAATTTGATTGTCCTATATTCAAATAAATCGCCTAGTGAGTTACAACAACAAAAGGGGTCATTCTTCTGTGCAGCTTTGCTTCTAAATCTAATTAGCATATTCCAACACTGGTCTAGTGGCTTGAGCCGTTCATGGTATTTGATTGATTTTTAAGAGAACAACTATCTCTAGGTTGAAAATGATTTTTTTATGATTTGGAATGTCTAGCCAACATCTTCCGTTAGAGATCTTGTAGATTCTCTCTGTTTGATTGGAGAACCTTTTATGTAGCTGTGAATTTGGATAAAGTTCTGGAGGGAGAGAGATGTTGAGAGCGACACTGTCGAAACCAAAAAATGGAAATGCACAGCATCTGCGAGTCATCTCAGCTGTTCCTATGCAGTCTGGTTTTCGTCCAGCAATCGAGACCTTGAGGGAGTTGTATGGATCAATAACTGGAACTGGTTTCGAACTGAATCGTCTCAGTTGTACTTGTACGTGTGCAATATAGTTTCCGTCTGGCGTTGTGTGGGGCAAAATCTGGTTCCTAACTGGTCTTCTTCATGGTTGTATATATCAATCTCTTGGGTTCCAAAACAGAGTTATCTTTTGATGTTATTACCTTAGAGAGATAAGCAATATCAATATGCTTTCTGAAGTTTGAATGCTGCTGCTTCTCAAGGGGATGAAGAAAAGTATAAGAAGGCTTCATTTTGCCAAGTTTTATAGTTGATATATATAGTAGTAGTTACTCAGTTGATAAA